CACTGGTTTGAGTATTTCCCCAACCCTCCACTGAATATCCTGAACATGGCAGAGAATGTCCTGGCTCATCATGACAAGGAGCTGCTGCAGCACCTGGTGGACTGTGGCGTTACTTCGCAGGTAACAGAAGCTGCAGAACCACAGAGAGGCTGTCAGATAATGTGCCATAAAATTGCACGCGCTCAGTGGGATCACACGTTCTCTGCACTTTTATGACACTTCTCCCCGCTTGCTCTAGCTCTTCGTGTGGCCCCTGCTGGAGACCTTCTTCTCAGAGGTTCTGACTCGGGATGAGTGGCTGAAACTGTTTGACAACATTTTCTCCAACCATCCATCATTTCTGCTGATGGCCTGTGTGGCTTACATCATCTGTTGCCGTGAGCCTCTCCTCCTCTGCTCACAGAAGCAAGACTTTGAGGTACTTTTCCCATCATTTTTTCTCATCTAATCTAATCAGGAGAACACAAATTTTGACACATAATGAACTTTTCTGTCTCTCCTCTTCTGTAGTATTTCTTCCACCATCGTAACAACATGGATGTTGGAGCAATGGTAAAGGAGGCCTACCGACTCATGAGCAGCACACCAGCTGACATCCATCCCAGGGCCATGCTCTCTGACTTTACACCACTGACCAAAGGCCAGTACCCTGTGTTCAATCATTACCCAGAATTCATAGTGGAATACCAAAGCAGGGAGAAGGAGAAGATACGACTGCAGGAGATGGAGTATCTCAGAGAGAGGTGAGATTAAAACAAAACAATAAGAAAGAAAGAAAGAAAGAAAGAAAGAAAGAAAGAAAGAAAGAAAAAGTTTTTTGTAATAGTAAATATTAAAACTTAATATAAGGAGGGAGGAAGAAGGCATAACATGTAAGTGTGTGTTCAGGCAGGAGGTGTCAGCAATGCGTGCAGATTTTTTACGTCGCCAGGCTGAAGAGGAGGCCTTTTATGCACAACAGGTAGATTAATTTTTCCGAATTCTGAAAGGAGTATATTACTGTAATCCTCAGACTATGCGGCGTTCAACACAAACAAACACTTAAAATAAAGTGGAAATAAAGGGAATCAGTTTTACTGTTTTAATTGAATCTGTTTTAGGAGCTGCTGCAGAAAGCAGAAGAACAGCGCAGAAACATTCTGTCACAGGAAGAGGAGAGACTGACACAGCAGAGGGCAAAGTACACGTTGCACCTTTGAAAATGAAGTATGACTTAAATGAATGACAGGAGTTCAGAGAATGGGTTGGTGACACTGTGCTGTGTTGTTCAGGTTGGCCGCCATGAAGAGAGAGCTCAAGGTGAAGGAGTTAGAGCTGCTGGACACAACCAGAAGACGCTTTCTCAAACACCAGCAGGACCTGAGAGCCTCACAGATACAAAGACTAGACCAGGAGATCAGCAGGAAGGTAAATGCAGCAAGTTACACATAAAACATATATACTGGTAGATTTCAAATTTCAATGATTTATCTCTTCTGTGTAATGTGGATGTTTAGCACGTGGTAGCACGGTGGCCCAGTGGTTAGCACTGTTGCCGCACAGCAAGAAGGTCCTGAGTTCAATCCCACCATCAGGCCAGCAGGGTCTTTCTGTGTGGAGTTTGCATGTTCTCCTCGTGTTTGCGTGGGTTCTCCCCGGGTACTCCGGCTTCCTCCCACAGTCCAAGTTAATTGATAAATCCAAATTGTTAATTGATAAATCCAAATTGTTAATTGATAAATCCAAATTGCCCATAGGTGTGTTAGCCCTGTGACAGACTGGTGACCTGTCCAGGGTGTACCCCTCCTCTCGCCCTATGACAGCTGGGATAGGCTCCAGCACCCCCCGCTACCCTGAAAAGGACAAGCGGATGGATGGATGTTAATGTTTAGATGTATATGTGTACACTTCACTTTGTTAGTAATCTGGTTCATATAGTGGAAGGTTAGCACATTATAAATCCTGTAATGGACTGGAACACCAAAATGACTCAGTGTATTGTCACAGAGATTTATGTGCTTGTTGATATTTTGTGCTGCAGATGACTCTTTATGACCAGGAGACAGCTGCAGCAGTCCAGGATCTCGAGGTCAGACAGATGGAGATGGAGGTTCAAAGGAAACAACTTGAACAGGTGACAAACACCCTCCTGACTCCCTACCAGCCTCACCTCCTTCACTCTGCACTTCTTCCCTTTGTGTTAGTACATTTCTTTCCAATAGTGACTCTCATTAACCTGGAAAACAATTTCTAAGTAAAATGTGTTTCACGAACCAAGTTTTGGTTATAGCCGAAACAGTTACAGCTTCCAGTTAAATGCTCAATTAAGATCACTCAAGCATGAGACCTGTTACGCTTTGGGTAAAGTCTTGTGAAATGAAATGTGGTTTCACAGATGTTTATATAATTCCCAGCACTGTGACTGTTATTAAAAGTTCCACTGTCTAATCAGTTTTGCTGCTTTTCTTTCATGGTTTTTCCACCACTGTCCCAGCGTTTGTTGAAAGAGCAGGAGCGTGCAGGACGAGAGGACGAGGGGCAAGTGGAGAGGAGAACGAGGCAGGCGGAAAGAGAGGGAGAGAGTTGCACAGAGCTGCTGCGTAACGCTGAGGAAGACATGCAGGCTAGTTACAAATTCCAGTGTAATTGTCAAACATGAAGTCGTGTGTCCATCTGGCTTTTCAACAGGAGCAGTAGAGTCACCTAAATCCTATTTCTCCACAAACACACACACAGAGCCGGGAGGAGTTCCTCGGAGGGGCACGTCAGCTGGGCCTGGAGTCAGACTGGAGGGAGGTGAGGGAACGCCTGCAGCAGGCGGACAGGACGAGAGAGGGACTGACAGAGACGGACACTGTGGGAGATGTGGCGGGAAGGAAGGTGAGAACAACATGTAGAGCTGGCAAAAATACAGACATTCTGTATTTAAGAAGTACATACACTTGTGTTACAAACTTGAGTAAAACTTGAAGTACTGATTAATGGGGGAGGGCGGCATGGGGTGTACTAGACCATATTTATTTCAAGGCTTTTGTTTTTCAGATTTATAGAAAAATAAAATATTTTATATTGTAATTCTATAAAGTAAAATAAAAAAAAACATAAAATAGAAATAAAAGATTTTTATAAAGACCGATAAAATGTACCAGTAAAAAGCCACTGACCTTGGGCTGTTAGGCTGGACACTGAATTATTATTAAAAACATCATAACAACAACTTGGTATCACAGCACAGGGCACACGAGCACACACCAAATCTATCCAGTCTCTTTTTGCCTCCTAATGTCAGAAAGTCCCCCTTTCAAGAAAATAGAGTAATGGGAATTTTATTTTATGCCTTAGTTTAGATTGCATGTATGCTTTATTTGACATTACTGTACTTGAGAGTGCTTATTTATTATTTATAACCAGTGGAATTCTTGATTACTAAAATAACTGTTTGCTGCAGCCCTGATTTTTATTATGTGTCGGCTTTAAAAGTGACAGAATATATGAGTTTTTATTGGGCTTTTATGTGAGACCTTAAGACAAGTCTTTGTGATCCCAGTTGATTGTTATCATCATCATCTGATGTAATGTGAGCATTGTTCATTTAAAGAATGACTGCTTGTTAATTTGCAGTGGGATGAGGTGATGACTCTCAGAGCTCTGCTACAGGATCATCACCAACCATGCCCTTCAGCATTTACAGGTATTACCCCCTCACTACCACACACAGACACACACACAGTCTGTTTTTCAGACTCATCTCAGTATATTTATTGTTTATCAGATGGTGAGGGGCAGACGAGGATAAGGTCACCGTGTTTGAGTAGAGACCCTCTACGCAGACACGGTGCCGTCACTCCTGTCAGGACTAACTCCTTCACCACTGCAAGACCAGCAGGAAGTCAGGTGTTGTGTCTGAACAGCAGCTCACCCTCAGAGAGCACCTCCACCAACTGTAAGTCCTTGTTATCACCATGTTTTTTTAAAATTTAAGTGGCAAAATGTATTTCCCCATCGGTTTACCAAAGCTGGGTAGTATTTCAAGTAATGATCTATTGTAACCACCACACGATTATAATCTGATTATAATAATCTGTTACTAATCTGTCAAGTGTTGGAGCACAACTACAAACTGTGAAGCTGCCTTCCTTCTGTCCTCCTTTGTCAAATGTGTTTTTGCATCAGTAATCCTTTCTTTCTTTTCCTGTCAGTCTCACTGGACCGAGGTCGGGCCCAGCTGGACAGCAGTGAGAGAGAACTGCTGAAGGAAATCAGAGAACTGAGACAGAAGCTGGCAGCAAGAGCCAAAGAGGGCAGCTCTGCCTCCTCACAGTCTGTCCACACACTGTCCTCTATCTCCCAGTGACCACAACTCCCTCAAACTCTGGCTTCACAGAGTCACAGAAACATATTCTTATCTCGAGACCTCTGGAACAGACGGACAGTGAATCAGACCGATGAGCTAACTGCTTCCAAAGAATGTTTTTGCCATCCATCCCTCCACCTTAAAGTACAAATGCAGTCAAACAGCTTCCACTCTTCATCCTCATGAAAACTCATGTTTTAGCAAAACACCAGTCGAGAACAGTTTATTTCAGTTTCTGGCTTTGTTTGTGCTTCATGTCATGTGCACATTGTTGCTCACATCAACCTGTAATGTTTGGGTGGTTCTCTCAAAAACCAGCTTTGACTATTTTTCTTTAAGCAGTGTGTAAGACCATCTGACATACTCTCGGTACTGTGTGAGACAGACTCACACGCTTCTTCTGCAGAGTCCATAGTGAGGAATAAACTGTTTAAATTTGCTGTCATGTTTTTAACAGATGTGCAGTTCTTACATGAGTCCTTTTTTACTTTAATGTATTTTGTATTTGCTTTATTTAAAATCTATTTGCATAAAAACATCTAAAAATCTGCATTGATCTTTGTGTCATTATGACTTTCTTTATCAGAGTGATGTATTTTTAAAAAACAAACTTTAATTTAAATATCTGCAGTCACACTTTTCTGTATTCAGAATGCATTTAGGTTGGGTTATAATTTAGATGAGAGGATTTATGATTTGATTAGTTAGAGATTAGACTCTACCAAAGCAGAAGTGCAAAAACACTGACCTGTGGGCCTCTTCTCACTGTCTGGGTGTGGCATTAACTGTCATCACTTTTGGTCTTGTGAGCATCCAGGTGTTATTTGACATGAGCTGAACTGGCAGCGATCTCCATTCCTGTCACTCACTGCTTTCTATCTCTCCACCCATGTTTTATCTGTGCTCACCTGCTCTGCATCACTCTGTCACAGGCCATGGGAAGGAAACTGCAAAGCATGCACTGCCCTGTTGTCACTGCCAAAGTTAATTAACAAACAAAAGCACAAACAGGGAGGTATTGGAGCCACAGAATCACATCTAAAAGCAGAATTTCTTTGATGTCTCAAATTTTACAGGCTAATATTTTTATTCTATCTTTGCATCATTTCCTGTAAATTTCTTTATCTTTACCTTCACAGTTAGACACTTGAAGGGTCACTGTCTTACACCCACAGTCTGACTGACTCACTTTTCACCTGTCACTTCTCATTATGTTTTAGGAAACCATCTTGCCCTCAGCAGGGGTGGATCTACCTTTCTCTCTTTACCTATCTGCATGTCTGAATCAGTAGATCTCTCTTAGAGAAACTGATTTCCAGAGCTGTAACGTCAGCATGCTAACTTTTCTCTAACCTGAAAATAAGGCTTTGTATCCATGGATGCCTCCAACAGTGTGTCTGCGCTGTGGTACAGGACGTCCAAGCCGCTGGGGAAGGTAAGGCGACGTCTCCAAGACCTCCGCATCCCTTCCTCCTCCTATGATTTCATATCTAGCAGCTCCACAGTGGACCTGAGCCACAACGAGAGCGCTCGTCTTGCAGCGGACTGTCTGCTCAGCCGGGGCTTGGAGGATTACCACGAGGTGTTGAGAGCAGAGGGAGAAGTGGACTTTCTGTCAGAGCCAGAGAAGAATTACATCCTGAAGAATGGGAGGGATAGTCACACAGGTTAGAAATATTTCTGTACATCTTTAATGTTCCCATTATCCCAGGTTGAGTTGCTTTAAATGGTTTTCTGTCTCATGCAGATGATCCTAGTGAGCAGCACGATGATGGCAAAGAGTTGGAGAGTTTATCTGCTGGCTCAAACTCTCCCACACAGTGCTCTGAAGTGTCAGCAGACAGTGACTGTACTCTGGCAGAGTCAGGTCAGTGTCAGCTGAAAGGTACTAATGGAGTACTAAATATTTTGTAAAAGTGTTTAAATCCTCTGTAGGTCAGTGCACATTTTGGGGGCAATGTATTTTTGAGCTTTCTGTTGCAATTCACTGCTGTTTACAGTTTTCTTTTGCTCCTTTTCATAGACGTGAAATCGAGCGGTCCTGTGTTGGTTAAACAGATGATTCAGGTTTTCTTCCCCTCAGACTGCAGGGCAGCTGGCATGAAAGACCTGGTTAGGCAGTTCATCAGAAAGGCTAAACTGGTATGCCTGGATGTGTCTGTGTGTTTCTTTGTGTATGTTTGTACATGTAAAAAGGAATATAGCATGCATACCCGCGCATGTGAAATAAAAACCCAGTGCTGGATCTTGTGAGCTGAGGCAGTGTGAGTGATCTCTGTGACTGCAGGTGTTTGGTAAAGTGATTCCTCAGTAACTCATAACCACGTGTCTATAGGCCCTGGCTATAGTGGTGGACAGCTTCAGTGACGTGGAGCTGCTTTGCGATCTTCTGGAGGCGAGCAAGAAGAGAAACGTGTCTGTACATCTGCTGTTGGACCAGCTGAACCTGAACCTGTTTGTTAGCATGTGGCAGGACCTCAAACTCAACAGTAAAAACTTTCCTGTGAGTCCACTCGTCATTCTCTTTCTCACTACCTTCAAATTGCAGCACTCTTCTGAAGAAATCAAGAGTAAAAACGTTAAGTATCCATATACATGCTTTATATCTTGTTCTTTTTTATCTTGTAACCATGCAACCTTAAATCAAGCCTGCCAGAGAACCACAGTATCTCTGATGCAACAGTACAGCACAAGCAAACACTGTACATGGAAAGCACCTTCAACGGGCTCTATATGATGACCATGCTGTTTTCTTTTTTGTCTGATGTGATGTTTTCTTCTTTCATGAGCCAGCATTTGATCTTTAAGGGACTTTTCCTAAAACACGCTGCTGCCACTGGATCATGTAACAAAAATGGCTGATGCCCATCCCTGTTGTTCTAAGATGGGCATTTTAACTCAGTAATCTGTAGTCTAGGCAGGTACCACAATTATCACTTCCAAATTAGGATTTGTTTTCTTAGCCCTGGAGGTTGCTGCTTAAAAGACTGCTTATGACAATCAGTAAACAAATGACATGTTTGTCAAGATAAATATCTACATCCATCAATGATACAGCAATAAAAATACAAATGCTACAGTTTGTGTTAAATAATTGTGTGTGTGTGCACAGAAACTGTCAGTACACAGCGTCTATGGACAGACCTACTGTGCAAAGACAGGCAGGAAGCTGAAAGGTCAGATTGCAGAGAGTTTTATCATCAGTGACTGGACTGAAGTGCTGACTGGTTCATACAGGTATAAACATGCAGGAACATCATCATTATCAACAATTTTTGTATGTATTCTCTTTAATTTTCTGTTGTACAATTAGTAACCGTGTGTGTGTGTGTGCGTGTGTGTGTGTGTGATCCCTTCAGCTTCTCCTGGTTGTCCTGGCAGGTCCATCGGAGTCTTGCTGTTCTGTTAAAGGGCAGCGCAGTCACATGTTTCCTGCAGGAATTTCACAGGCTGCACTCCAGCTCCAAACCCGTCACCGGCTTTGTCACCTTTATCACTGTGCCCCACACTCTTTGCCGACACGCCACATCACATGCGGCTCTTCATAGCGATACTGGTATCAGTAAGCAGACATCAAACCAGACAGGTCTTCAGTGGGACTGGAATAAAGATGCTGAAAACACTCAGACAAAAGCAGCTGGGACAGTTCTACATAAACCCCAGAGCCCAGCACTGGTGAGCAGCCGGGGGGATAACCGACCTCAGCACAGAGCAGACACTGGTACACAAATCCAAAGAAAACCTCTGCAGCTGTACCCGAAGCCTTTGATTCAACCAGAAATGGAGCGTGAGGTGCAGAGTAAATCTGTGGAAAAGCCCAAATATACAATGGAATCTGGACACACAAGGCATAATGAAAAAGAGAAGAGCGAATACCAGATTCAGAGCCACCTAAACCTGCCTGATCATACCCACTACATCAGCACTACAGCTGAAAAGAATGCAGCGATTCAAGAGTCAGACCCTCTGCACACTGTGTCCCCGACACACAGACAGCACAGGACTGTACTCTGTGAAACACCTTTGAAGAATTCAAATCTTGATCCTGCAGACGTGTCTACCGAAGGGCTCTTCTTTCAGCAGAGGAACAGAAACACAAACCCTCTGAGGACTGCTGCAGACCTGAACACACAGAGAGGACAGCGGAGCTCCTCACACAGTTTCAAACCCAAACCGGAACTTCAACATGCTAATCCCAAACTCCACCCTCCTCCTACAACACAACACAAACAAGCAAACACCACTCATCAGTTTCTTTTTACACCTCTAAGAGGACACACACCTGGTGTGCAAACCAAATTCTCCTTTCTAGAAACCAGGAGGCAGGCTCAGCCACAGAGGTACTACCAGCCCCAGCTCCAACCACAAACTATCAAAGAGCTTCCAGCTTCAACAGGAGCTCATCTTAGGCCTCAGCTTCAGAAAGACCCAAAGCTCTTTCTTCCAGGTACAGCAGCCCAGATTAATCTTCAGTCCCACGCTTTCCAGCAGCCTAATCCCCTTTGGAGGCTAAACTGGAGCCCCCAGAATCATCCTATGGAGCGTCACAGCTCCTTCAGGACCCCCCATAGGATGGGACAGATGGCTGGCTGGGGGCCTTTACAGAGCAGCATGAATACACCACTGAGAAGAAGCAAGAGTATGAACGAGAGACAGACAGCAGGGTTCAGTCTAAACAGAACGTTTAGCTAACTCTATATTGGTCACATTTATCCACCCACAGACACACAGGAGCTGCAGCTATAAAAACAACACAATATCCTCATAAGTTTCACTGAGCTTGGGTGATATTTTAATGTAAACCTCTTGAAATTATACTAGACCAAGAGATGAGCTTATTATTGCTACAAGTCCAGCAGCTGTATCTGCATATTTTTGTTAAAATAAAATATAACTTCATGACAACGTGTAATCTGTTACATGTCTTTAATCCTGAAAGGTGTGTTAAAGTAGAACATTTGGGGTAATTTTACAGCTGCTACACACACTCACGAAAGTGCTTTCTGTTATTAAACATCTGCTAAGGTTGATGTTGAGTGGAGCGATGTGAGGAGTTAATCTGTTGCCACTAACGTGAAGAGAACAAACAACAAGCCTACACTGTCCTGAGAGATTTTATTATCTGCATAATGCTCAGAACAGCTTGTCTGATACAAACAGCATCTGAAACAGACTTTTTTTTTATCAGAAATATAGAAATACTGTGTTTAAACTAACAACCACAAGCAACATGTGAAGCAGAACATGAAGCAGTTAAAATAATTCACTTTGTTTCATGGTTTAATGCAAAAAAGAGTCACTGCTGTACAGTTATTGAAATAGTGATGGCTTAGTCACTATGCTCTTTGTCTGAACCATCTTCAGCTGGTTCTTCACTTCCTTCCTGTCTGTGTTCACCTTTGTAAACAGTCAACACTGCAGCATGAGGATATTGTGTTTCATGCTGCTGCCCGTCAGTCTCTAACACGCCTGTCAGTAAGATCTTGTTCCACCAGCGCTGTCTGAAGCTGTGCAAAGAGACACTGGTCAGGCTCTCCCCATCCTGGTAGTCCTCCCTCATCTTCTCTAGGATCAGGTCCTCTGACATCACCAAGATCAAAGAGAGAAAAACTGTTGATTTATAAAAAGGAGCCAATTTAATCCAAACTGTCTGGAATTTAAGCCTTGTGACAAGAGCAACTTTAAATACAAAAAAACCTGAAAAATTACATTTTGTAGGTCTTAAAGGCAAATTAAATGACAAAATAAAGGTGAAAGAAAATTTGTCAAGTTCTTCTTAACTTTCAATAAAAACACAATGTAACACAGTGCTGACTACATCTGTGCACCTTGGCTGTGTGAAATGAAATGACAGAAATGTCCTTTTTAATGAGACAACTTGTTGGGTAGGAAACATGGAAATGAGCAAACTAGGATCAAGACTCTGGGAAATATTCAAACACTGATGCTGCTGATAAAAATGTAAACTGATGGTCATGAATGGACACTTGTTTATCAGCTATAAAAGTACCAGTTAACTAAGCTGGATGTTTTTTCATGAAGTGTTTGATGTAAGAGAGCACAGACTAAATTGAATGAGTGACAGTACCTGATAGTTTCCTTGTCTCACAGCCAGCTCACCTCTGAACTTGTAAACTTTCTGCTTCTCCAGAGAATCTTCAGTATCCAGAGCAGCACTGTCACAAAACCACTGCAGAGAGGAACAAATTTACTACACAAAGCTGTTAGAGGATGCTGCTCAGTCAGTCACTGCCAGTGAAGTGCATGTCCTTACTTTTGCCATGATCCAGCAGCTACTCAGCTTCCTTAATGAAGGAGTTACTGTGTTCACAAAGTTGGGTCTCCAGATCACCCATCCACCAGGTGGCGTGATGATGTGGTGAGATGAAAAAAAATGAATTGACAAACATTTGTGCTCCATTTGCAGTTTTATTTTTACAACAGGTTCACACATGACAGACATTAATAAATCATGTTTTAAATTAAGGGAAAAGATAACTAATTATTGATTCACATAACCATCATATCAAAATACATGCAGCAGAAGCTTGTCCTAAATGTAACTTCCGACACACAAAGGAGGCAGTGAAGACAGTTAAATAGGCTGTAGAAGATTGTTAAAAATAAACAATAACATCTTTCTGAGTGTTAATAGAGAAGTTCTGCTTAATTTCTCCACTGTTTATCTTCCTGCTACACTGAGCCTGAACCCATCACCTTTGATTTATTAGAGGAAAGTTTGCTACAACCCAACAAGCCACTACTGACACCTGTCTAACTGAATAAACAAAACCAACCCATGGATCTTCTTACACTGCACAGATGAAATTATATTTATCATAAACAGACTTCTTGTACCACAAATGGTTCCCACCTTTATTCATGGCAGTGTTCATGCCACAGACTGCTGTTCTTGTCTCATCTGGAGCCCACTGATCAAAAAATACACACTGATCGTTGACCCAGATCCAGAAGTCGAAGCCACAGATGTATTGAAGACCCAGCCAGACAAAGGGAGTGTCAGCCTTCTGAGCCTCCAACCCAACCCAGACCTGGGTCTTGTTATCAAGGATGGAAACCAGATCCATGTGTTCCTCTCTGCAGTGGTACCGGGCGTCTGCCCATGTCTTGTTCTCTTTAATCAGTTTAAAGGGCTCTAAAAGGAAAAACATCAAAAACATGAAACTTTGAAGCATCAAAGCAAACAGTGTTTCTGAGTGTCTAACATGCTGCGTTGATTCAAGCACATAATTCTTACTGTCAACATTTACACATTTATATCGACTCTACTGACTGACCAGTTAACTTAGTGGGTAAGAATGTTTTATTGTACCTTTTTTTCTGCCTTTCATCGTCACCTCACACAGAATTAAAAACCCAGATGTGTTTTTGTACACAGTTACATAACGCCCCCACTTTGGTCCATTTTCACAGTTAAATGTTTTAGTTTCTCCTCTAGTAGTTGTGTTGATTGTTGCACACCTGTAAACAAAGACAAAAGGTTGGACAGATGTACAGAAAGAGTTTCTGGCTCTGTTTGGTTAAATCATGCTGTAAACAGTGGAGACAGTCGAACAGCTGGATAATAAATGTGAGCTGCTGTCTGAGAACATTTTAGAAAGAAGGAAAACACCTACAAATAAACAACAAAGGAAAATGAGAATAAATAAAGATTTTTATATTCTTCACATATACGTGATTATTACTCCAAACCACATCACACCATATTAGACCTCCTATTTCATCTGATAGAACTGATACAGGGTTATCTGTGTTTGTCATGGTCGGCTGTGTGGCAGGCAGGCAGGAGTGGTGGACCCAAAATGCAGGATTCTCAGGACACGAGGTTTAAACAGAAAATGCAGCTTTATTGCTGGAGCAGAACATCAGGATAAAATAAAACTCACAAAAGCAAACAAAACTCTAAACAGAGATGCAGGAGGACTGGAAATCCTAAACACGCAGCAAGTGAGGGTGAACAGACGTTAACGACGCGACGCTGACACAAAGACACACTGGGCTTAAATACACTGAGGGAGTCATCAAGGAGTTAGAGACAGAAGGGGGACACAGCTGGGAGAAATAAGACCTAACGAGACAGGGGAGAGGTAAAACTGAACACACTGACATGAGACATGAACTTTCAGAATAAAACAGGAAACTTAACAGACACAGAGAACCAGACAGGACACTGAACTTGACAGGCAGACTCATGAGCAGACACAATAACACCATGGACAGACAGAGGGAACACAGAGAAGTGGGAGCAGACAGGCAAGGAACAGAAACCTAACAAATGGCAAAAATCACAACAGAATACACATTTGGAATGAACAAAAGCATAAGGAAACACAAAACACTGAGTCCTCAGACTCAGGACCATGACAGTGTTACTGTATTTAAAGACATTTAAGTGTTTGGTTGAATTTTATGTTTGACAACATTTTTCTCTATTCAGTTCTCATTTTCTCACTTTAATGTGATAGAAAATGTTGAAAATATTTTCCTCATTTGCTTTTGTTTTGCTTGTTTGCAGGTGTTTTCTAACTTGTACATCATCAGCCTCTCAGTATATCAGCTGTGACATCTATCATTTACATTCAATCAGCAAAATCAAACCACAGAGGTTTCTCTACAGTCACTGTGACATACAAATTTCACTACAAGCGTAATAATCAAAGTGTTTTAGAACCAGAAAAAACTCCAATATTTTGTTCTTGGTTATTAAAATCTTTGAAATTATTCATGGACACCATCTAAAAACATTGGACTGACTGAGAACAGAATGATTCAAAGTAAGATGAAGGTATTACTCAGTGGTGTCAGCAGGATTTCTCTCAGATGAGTTCCCGATGAGGATGTGAGCGCCTCTTAGATCAACATTGTCTTGATTTGTGTTGTAAATTGTGATGCAGGAAATTTCCCATAGACCCAATAAGTCAACTGTCCACCAGGAGTTGGTCTCTTGTGCAGTGTGAGCAGATATCAAGATATTCCCATCAAAAGCTCTGTCAGCACTGAATTTGACACCATTCTTATCTGTGTAGACTGAAGACTGAAATGCCACTTTGTCATCCAGTTTGATAGTTTCCCAGCCTGGACTACATCCTGATGATGTAACAGAAAGTAAAGTTAAAAAATTTAAAAAAGCAATGTCAGTGGTAATAATACTTCAGAAATGGGCAATAGAAAACGGTCAGTGACTATGCAATCCCCAAAATTTGCTAGCATGATGTCAAGGCAGAATGGGTACGAGCAACTTCTTTTTTTGCCATGCCATGATGCCGCCTTGACCATATCAAAAACCACTACTGCACACACACACACACACACACACACACACACACACACACACACACACACACACACACACACACACACAC